GAATCGTGTTTATGGAGAATCAAGTGCGGTCGAGAGAGGTGAACTCAGAGCGTATTGTGGAATGGGTGCAGCATAGATTGGGGAGTTTGCGCCCGTATCATTTGACATTGTTGCAGAGGGCCATCGTGGTAAACACGTTACTATACAGTAAGGTTTGGCATGTGGCGGCAGTTTACCCCTTAACGGGGCAAGGAATCACGAGAATTTTAAAGCAGGTGTTTAGGTTTATATGGGTTTCTGGGTGTGATTGGCTGAGGGAGGTGGTAATGCTGCCGGTACATCAGGGGGGGTTAAGGTTATTGGATCTATGGCGTTGGGTAAAATGTGTTTTATTACGAAGGGAATATGTACGGGTTGGGTGTGGGGGGGTTAAAGCTTCTGTATGAGGGAGTGCAGAGGTGGTATGTGGGTGCAGAGTTGAGGGAATGTGAGGAGGTTCTGCGTACCCTCATGGTCCTACGGGAGCCTGGTAAGATTCGCATAGGGGTTTTGGCGAGAGTAATTGGGAGCCGGGTGGTGGTGCCGGTGGAGGGAATATACCCCATGTATGGATGGGGAGATATTTGGTGTCGTTTTCGTAAGTTGAAGCTCAGACCTCGGGTGCGGGAGGTTATGTTCCGTTTCCTGCATGGCATTTTGCCATCAGGAGCGGTCCTGCGGGGGGTGAGGCGAATAGTAGAGGAGAGTGGGTGTGAAGTGTGTGGTGGCGAGGATACGGCATATCATGCGGTGTACTTTTGCGAATGTTTGGGGAATGTTAGGGATTGGATGAGTAGGATTGTCAGGCTAGTGGGAGGGGGGCATACCGGTGTTGAGGGCGCTCGTTTTGGATGTGGGAGGGGTGCCAGGGAGTACACAACGTGCATTGGCATATTTAATGGTAGATTTCGTGTACGTGTCGTGGGGTATGCGTGGGAATGGGGATTGGGTGGGGAGGAAACGGGTACTGGCAACTACCTTTTATAGGACGGTTTGCAGGAACAGGGAAATATGTGGATCGCGGTGGGAGGGAGCCTTCCCCGTAGGTTATCGTAGTTTAACTATTGGGATCTTACTCGCTTCGTAGTGGGGGGGGGTGGTTGTCATGGCTGGAGCAAGGATTGAGAATGTCATCCGGGGTTTCAATGGGCTCGCCGTCGGGAGTGTGTGTGTGTGTGTGTACTCACCTATTTGTACTCACCTATTTGTGGTTGCAGGGGTCGAGTCTTAGCTCCTGGCCCCGCCTCTTCACCGGTTGCTACTGGGCCCTCTCTCTCCCCGCTCCATGAGCTTTATCAAACCTCGTCTTAAAACTGTGTATGGTTCCTGCCTCCACTACGTCATTTTCTAGGCTATTCCACTGCCTTACAACTCTATGACTGAAGAAATACTTCCTACTATCTCTCTGACTCATTTGTGTCTTCAACTTCCAATTGTGGCCTCTTGTTTCTGTGTCCCCTCCCTGGAACATCCTGTCTTTGTCCACCTTGTCTATTCCACACAGTATTTTATATGTCGTTATCATGTCTCCCCTGACCCTCCTGTCCTCCAGTGTCGTCAGGCCGATTTCCCTTAATCTTTCTTCATAGGACATTCCCCTTAGCTCTGGAACTAACCTTGTCGCAAACCTTTGTACTTTCTCTAGTTTCTTGACGTGCTTTATCAAGTGCGGGTTCCAAACAGGTGCTGCATACTCCAGTATGGGCCTGACATACACGGTGTACAGTGTCTTGAATGATTCCTTACTAAGGTATCGGAATGCTGTTCTCAGGTTTGCCAGGCGCCCATATGCTGCAGCAGTTATCTGATTGATGTGTGCTTCCGGAGACATGCTCGGTGTTATACTCACCCCAAGATCTTTCTCCTTGAGTGAGGTTTGCAGTCTTTGGCCACCTAGCCTATACTCTGTCTGTGGTCTTCTGTGCCCTTCCCCTATCTTCATGACTTTGCATTTGGCAGGATTAAATTCGAGAAGCCATTTGCTGGACCAGGTGTCCAGTCTGTCCAGGTCTCTTTGAAGTCCTGCCTGGTCCTCATCAGATTTAATTCTCCTCATTAACTTCACATCATCTGCAAACAGGGACACTTCTGAGTCTAACCCTTCCATCATGTCGTTCACATATACCAAAAATAGCACTGGTCCTAGGACCGACCCCTGTGGGACCCCGCTCGTCACAGGTGCCCACTGTGATACATCATTACGTACCATGACTCGTTGTTGCCTCCCTGTCAGGTATTCTCTGATCCATTGCAGTGCCCTTCCTGTTATATGCGCCTGATGCTCTAGCTTCTGCACTAATCTCTTGTGAGGAACTGTGTCAAAAGCCTTCTTGCAGTCCAAGAAGATGCAATCAACCCACCCCTCTCTCTCTTGTCTTACTTCTGTTATTTTATCATAAAACTCCAGAAGGTTTGTGACACAAGATTTGCCTTCCGTGAATCCGTGCTGGTTGGCATTTATACTCTTGTTCCGTTCCAGGTGCTCCACCACTCTCCTCTTGATAATCTTCTCCATAATTTTGCATACTATACACGTCAATGACACAGGTCTGTAGTTTAGTGCCTCTTTTCTGTCTCCTTTTTTAAAAATGGGAACTACATTTGACGTCTTCCATACCTCAGGTAGTTGCCCAGTTTCCAGGGACGTGTTGAAGATTGTGGTAAGTGGCACGCACAACATATCTGCTCCCTCTCTAAGGACCCACGGGGAGATGTTGTCCGGTCCCATTGCCTTTGAGGTATCGATGTCCCTTAGCAGTAGTGTGTGTGTGTGGTGTGGTGTGGGTGTATGGCTTAGATGGAAACGAGGGAAGGTTCAGTGTGGTTAGAAGGTGTTAGGAGGTACGTGTGATGCTAGCTGGATTAAGTGTGTGATCCAGTTTGATAGTGGAGAATTTAGGTTCATATCTTTGCGTGCGTGTCCCATGGGATGACTGTATTACCCTCTGTGTATATAACGCCTTGCTATGCTTGGTCACTTATCATCACATCTCTGTCAGAGGGTTGAGGTATATATTATTGTTTAGAGGTATTGTATGCATGTATGCAGTAAGAATGCTTGAGTGTGGTTTGTTGTGATTGAGATACTGTTGTGATGTGACAGGCTTATATGCTCATGTACAGCTGGGAGACTGAGTGACAGGGAACTGTATGCTGCCGAGAGACAGTGGTGGTTGCCTAAATGAGGGAGAAGAGGGGGGGGGTAATAGAATGTTTTGCTATAGGAGACAGCATTGAACTTTGCCCTATTAAGGGCTCATCTCTGAATGGAGGTTAATGAGATAGGATAATATACACATATACGGATTACGGGGTTATTTTTCAAACTGTTCATACTGTGTACCTTGTGTGTAGTGAGAGGAGGCATGTATCAATTTATTGTTTAATGTCACTTTGTTTTATGTAAACATTTATATATGTTTGGTTTTGGTACATTTTAAGTGTATATTAATTTAGGTCACAACCCTGGCACTGTTTTTGTTAAGTGCTATGTTCTTGATGCAAGTTTTTCATGTGTGGTTTACAGTTACATATACAGAGTTTATACATGCAAGTTTTGTAGCATTTTTTGTTACGTATATTCAGGTGTGGGTAGTAAATCGTTTAGTTACAAGGATGGTGTATTTCTTATATATAGCTTCATGTTTAGTGATTTCAGTCAATCATATATAATTACATGTATATTGTATACCTGTGCTCTAAAACATACAAAATTAGGGGATGAATAGCTACGGAATGTTTAGGTGCATAAAATGCTAATATTACAATGTACAGTAAGAGGCCAAATCATTAGTTTATATATAAAAACTTTTGTATATACAGTTTCATACAAGATATGAATACAAATGTCAGTTTTTGGCTAGTGGCCATTTTATTATGTATGTTCAGAGGCAGGTTGTCATCCGTTAGTTATAAAGATGTTTTCTTATAAATGGTTTCATATATTGTGACTCCGTCAATGTGTGATATGCATGTATATTGTATATTTTAAATAAGTAAAAAAAAAAAAGTGTACGTGAATGCACTCGTGTACGTGTTGTGTACGCGAATGCACTCATGAAAGCGTTCGAATCTTGATTTACTGCGACTGTTCTCGACAGACTTCGTACCCGCGTTCGTTTGTATTTCCTACGTTGTTCACTTTCTGTTCCAAGTATTATTTCAGAAGTTCACTTCAAAAGAACCTCCCACTGAGCTCACCTTCGCGATCTCATTTCAGGAGCTCACTTCAGGAACTTCAATAGTTCAATGAAATGAGGGCGCTCACTGAACCCGCTCTCTCAGCCTGTGTTCATTCATAATTAATCTGAAATGTGAGAAGTTAGCCTATATAGACGGGAGAGGAATGTATGATATCATGCAGAGTTTGTTGAAGTCATTCTGAAGGATGATTATCATGTTTGGCGATGATCATACTTAGCATACTTTAGGGGGAGTGAGATCTGGGATCTACGGTAGGTGTGAGGCCCACACCATGTCTGGGACCCACGCCAGATCTGGGACCCACGCCAGGTCTGGGACCCACACCAGGTCTGGGACCCACACCAGGTCTGGAACCCACACCAGGTCTGGAACCCACACCAGGTCTGGAACCCACACCAGGTCTGGGACCCACACCAGGTCTGGGACCCTACACCAGATCTGGAACCCACACCCGGTCTGGGACCCTACACCATGTCCGGAACTCACACCAGATCCGGAACCCACACCAGGTCTGGAACCCACACCAGGTCTGGAACCCACACCAGGCCTGGGACCCACACCAGGTCTGGAACCCACACCAGGTCTGGAACCCACACCAGGTCTGGAACCCACACCAGGTCTGGAACCCACACCAGATATGGAACCCACACCAGGTCTGGAACCCACACCAAATTCGGGACGCACACCAGATCTGGAACCCACATCAGGTCTGTGACCCACTGCTGAGAAGTTGCTCACTTGGCTAGAAACAGTATGGGAAGAGACAGGTGATTCGACCCACTGATAAGTCAGCATACCAAAACAACTACACTCACAGCCTCACTCAAGAATTACACAGTGGTATGTACACACGTCTCTCTGTAGCTGTGTACACGTACACACACACACACACATCTGTCTATACATGTGTACACATACACTCATTGTAAGAGTACTCTCAGTATGTACACTTGTCTTACACGACACGTACTCTATACACAAAGTGGAGTAAACTAAGTTATAGTGTCGACCTGTTACTGAACACGATGTTCACCACCACAGCACAAGACTGCATCACAACACCATCACACCTTCACTACACAAGCCTCCATCACAACACCATCACACCTTCACTATACAAGCCTCCATCACAACACCATCACAACTTCACTATACAAGCCTCCATCACCATCACAACACCATCACACCATCATTACACATACATCTCAATCCTAATTGTATACACTAACATAATCTTCGTTACAGACCAGAATGATGACAGCTTCCAGCAGTGTTCCAGTGTTGCTGATTCTCTTCTGTTTCGGTACGTGTTGAACAGGTGTTAGACAAGGTCTAAACAGGTGTTAAGATAAGATAAGATAAGATTTCGTTCGGATTTTTAACCCCGGAGGGTTAGCCACCCAGGATAACCCAAGAAAGTCAGTGCGTCATCGAGGACTGTCTAACTTATTTCCATTGGGTCCTTAATCTTGTCCCCCAGTATGCGACCCACACCAGTCGACTAACACTCGGGTACCTATTTGCTGCTAGGTGAACAGGACAACAGGTGTAAGGAAACGTGTCGGAATGTTTCCACCCTCCGGGAATCGAACCCGGGCCCTCCGTGTGTGAAGCGGGAGCTTCAGACATGTGCTAAAGAAGTGTTAGACAGGTGCTAAACAGGTGTTAGACAGGGTCTAAACAAGTGTTAGACAGGTGCTAAACAGGTGTTAGACAGGGTCTAAACAAGTGTTAGACAGGTGCTAAACAGGTGTTAGACAGGGTCTAAATAAGTGTTAGACAGGTGCTAAACAGGTGTTAGACAGGGTCTAAACAAGTGTTAGGTGCTAAACAGGTGTTAGACAGGGTCTAAACAAGTGTTAGACAGGTGCTAAACAGGTGTTAGACAGGGTCTAAATAAGTGTTAGACAGGTGATAAACAGGTGTTAGACAGGGTCTAAATAAGTGTTAGACAGGTGCTAAACAGGTGTTAGGGTCTAAATAAGTGTTAGGTGCTAAACAGGTGTTAGACAGGGTCTAAATAAGTGTTAGACAGGTGCTAAACAGGTGTTACACAGGTGCTAAGCAGTCTCAATGCAAGTATTAAACAGATATTTGCAAGATACAGGTGTTGAAAGGGTATTTACAGAAAGTTACATACAGTTGTTTAACTCTTACACGTAGTGATCAGGTTAATAAATTAGACACATGTGCAACACTTGGGTATCTTTACTGAGGAAACGTTTCGCCACACAGTGGCTTCATCAGTCCACACAAAGGAGAAACGGGAAGAACAGGAGGAGTTGGAGGTGACCAGTCCCTCAGCCTTGAGTCGAGAAGTCGTAAGTGCTAACACATTTGCCCACTGGACAAGTGTGTTACCACCTACGACTGCTGCACCTCACCTGTCTACAGTATATAAGCCACTTCTTCGCACATATACTGTGTTCTTTTCAAGATTGATGGACTGATTACATCGACTCAAGGCTGAGGGACTGATTACCTCAAACTAATCCTGTTTATCCAGTTTCTCCTTTGTATGGACTGATGAAGCCACTGTGTGGGGAAACGTTTCCTCATTACAGATACCCAAGTGTTGCACATGTGTCTGATTTATCAACTTGTCGGTTCTCTGAACCATTAATCTACATTAGTGATCAGGTGTTGACCAGATTTACGAATTGGTAGCAGTCTTATAAGTTACAAGTGTCAATTATATGTTGCAGGTGTTTTAAAACACGTTTAAAACGTGTTCTAGACCATGCTTGATAATTTTGCAATAATAATCATGTTAATAATAATAATAATAATAATAATAATAATAATAATAATAATAATAATAATAATGGCATGGATCAGCAAACAGTACTCAGAATGACAACAAAATATTCCTGTGAGCCACAAGCAATTTCATGCGGGCATTAAGAGTGCCAAATGACTAGTGCCACCAGCACTATAGTGCCAGTACCCACACCTCTCTCACCAGGGTATCCTTGGCAGTATCCCCTGGCTACGATGCTCCACTATTTACACAGGTACATTAATCGTAATTGCCGTGATTGGAGGTAATCCTCACCTGTGTTGCCTTTGTATAGGAGAGGTGGAGTTTGTGTGTTGGTGGTGCCATGTGTGAGTGGTGCCATGTGTGGGTGGTGCCATGTGTGGGTGGTGCCATGTGTTGGTGCCATGTGTGGGTGGTGCCATGTGTTGGTGCCATGTGTGGGTGGTGCCATGTGTTGGTGCCATGTGTGGGTAGTGCCATGTGTTGTTGGTGCCATGTGTGGGTGGTGCCATGTGTTGGTGCCGTGTGTGGGTGGTGCCATGTGTGGGTGGTGCCATGTGTGGGTGGTGCCATGTGTGGGTGGTGCCATGTGCGGGTGGTGCCATGTGTTGGTGCCATGTGTGGGTGGTGCCATGTGTTGGTGCCGTGTGTGGGTGGTGCCATGTGTGGGTGGTGCCATGTGTTGTTGGTGCCATGTGTAGGTGGTGCCATGTGTGGGTGGTGCCATGTGTGGGTGGTGCCAGGTGTGGGTGGGATGCATGGTAATGGGTCTTATGTTGTAGGAAATGGGAAGAGGGGTGTTTGTGATCACCCATTGTGGAGAGAGGGAGCAGGTGTGTGTGTGTGTGTGTGTGTGTGTGTGTGTGTGTGTGTGTGTGTGTGTGTGTGTGTGCTCACCTAGTTGTGGTTGCGGGGGTCGATTCACAGCTCCTGGACCCGTGTATGTGTGTGAGCATTTTTCTTGAAGTTAATATTAAATTTTTATATAATAATAATAATAATAATTATAATATGCAACAACAAGAACTATTACTACTATTACAATTAGTATTGTAATTACAATTACTATTGCTACAACCAATACTACTATTACTTCTACAACAACTACTCTTATCACAACTACTACTATTACTACAACAATAGTTCTGGTCTCCATATTACAGAATGGACATAAATTCGTTAGAAAACATTCAGCGTAGAATGACTAAATTAAGACTTACCATTAGAAATCTTCCGCAAGAAGAAATGTTGAAGACTCTTAAATTACATCCACTTGTTAGACGAAGCATGAGGGAGACCTGATCGAGGTGTATAAGTGGAAGATGGGTATTAATAAAGGGGATATTAATAAGGCCTTGAGGATGTCTCTCCAAGAGAGAACCCGCAGTAATGGATTCAAATCAGATAGGTTTAGATTTAGATAGGATTTAGGAAAGTATTGGTTTGGAAGTAGAGTAGTTGATGAGTGGAAAAGTCTGCCTAGTTGGGTTACTGAAGCTAAAACCTTGGGTAGTTTCAAATATATATATATTATATATATATATATATATATATATATATATATATATATATATATATATATATATATATATATATATATATATATATATATATATATATATATAAGAGGTCTTTGTGGCATTTATGGATTTGTAAAAGGCGTATGACAGGGTGGATAGGGGGCAATGTGGCAGATGTTGCAGGTGTATGGTGTAGGAGGTAGGTTACTGAAAGCAGTGAAGAGTTTTTACGAGGATAGTGAGGCTCAAGTTAGAGTATGTAGGAAAGAGGGAAATTATTTCCCAGTAAAAGTAGGCCTTAGACAAGGATGTGTGATGTCACCGTGGTTGTTTAATATATTTATAGATGGGGTTGTAAGAGAAGTAAATGCGAGGGTCTTGGCAAGAGGCGTGGAGTTAAAAGATAAAGAATCACACATAAAGTGGGAGTTGTCACAGTTGCTCTTTGTTGATGACACTGTGCTCTTGGGAGATTCTGAAGAGAAGTTGCAGAGATTGGTGGATGAATTTGGTAGGGTGTGCAAAAGAAGAAAATTAAAAGTGAATACAGGAAAGAGTAAGGTTATGAGGATAAAAAGATTAGGTGATGAAAGATTGAATATCAGATTGGAGGGAGAGAGTATGGAGGAGGTGAATGTATTCAAATATTTGGGAGTGGACGTGTCAGCGGATGGGTCTGTGAAAGATGAGGTGAATCATAGAATTGATGAGGGGAAAAGGGTGAGTGGTGCACTTAGGAGTCTGTGGAGACAAAGAACTTTGTCCTTGGAGGCAAAGAGGGGAATGTATGAGAGTATAGTTTTACCAACGCTCTTATATGGGTGTGAAGTATGGGTGATGAATGTTGCAGCGAGGAGAAGGCTGGAGGCAGTGGAGATGTCATGTCTGAGGGCAATGTGTGGTGTGAATATTATGCAGAGAATTCGTAGTTTGGAAGTTAGGAGGAGGTGCGGGATTACCAAAACTGTTGTCCAGAGGGCTGAGGAAGGGTTGTTGAGGTAGTTCGGACATGTAGAGAGAATGGAGCGAAACAGAGTGACTTCAAGAGTGTATCAGTCTGTAGTGGAAGGAAGACGGGGTAGGGGCCGGCCTAGGAAAGGTTGGAGGGAGGGGGTAAAGGAGGTTTTGTATGCGAGGGGCTTGGACTTCCAGCAGGCATGCGTGAGCGTGTTTGATAGGAGTGAATGGAGACAAATGGTTTTTAATACTTGACGTGCTGTTGGAGTGTGAGCAAAGTAACATTTATGAAGGGGTTCAGGGAAACCGGCAGGCCGGACTTGAGTCCTGGAGATGGGAAGTACAGTGCCTGCACTCTGAAGGAGGGGTGTTAATGTTGCAGTTTAAAAACTGTAGTGTAAAGCACCCTTCTGGCAAGACAGTGATGGAGTGAATGATGGTGAAAGTTTTTCTTTTTCGGGCCACCCTGCCTTGGTGGGAATCGGCCAGTGTGTTAATAGAAAAAAATAAAAAATATGTAATCATACACGAGAAGGGTTGGATTTAAGTGGGACTTGTACATAAGTAAATAGAATTATTAAAGCTTATTGCTTGGGTAACGTTAATTCTGTTAGAGGGTTAGATTGGTGAAGGAACTGCCTAGTGTGGGCCAACAGGCTTACTGCAGTGTTCCTCCTTTCTAATGTTCTTATGTTTTTACTACTACTACTACTACTACTACTACTACTACTACTACTACTACTACTACTACTACTACTACTACTACTCTACTACTACTACTACACCATCACTACTACTAAGTTTGTAGAACACAGTACCTAGCTTCTGCTACTGTTCCTCCAGCAGGAGTCTCCCTGGGTGATGAGCAGCTACCTTGCCTTCCTAGGCAATACGGTGGCACCTCCTTCGTGTGTGTGTGCAACGCCACCTACTGTGACACCCTTCCCACTCCTCAAGTTCCTCCAGAAGGCCAGTTCCTTGTCTACACCTCCGACTTGAGTGGCAGTAGGTTCAACAAGAGCCAGGGTGCCTTCAGCGCCTTCAGGAGTGGTGAGATCCCATTATTGATGTAGTTTGTTGGGTCGAAGGCTTCATTAGTTGGTTTAAAATTTATCTGCTACACGAGGGTCATTGAGTTTGGTTAAAGGGGTTTAGTCTATGTACTACACGAGGGTCATTAGAGATGGTTAATAGGGTTTAAAGTCTATTACACAGGGATAATTAAGGCTGGTTAATGGGGTTTAAAGTCTATCTACTACACGAGGGTCATTAATGCTGCATGTCACCTGTACACCACAAGAATGCTTAATACATAAAATACTGATTAACTACAGAATAAAGATACCTCCCAGAGAGGTATCTTTATTCCGAAACGGTTCGCCTACACAGTAGGAATCTTTAGTTGAATACAGAGGCGGCAGAAGACGTAATCTCTAGGGTGGTCAGTCCCTCAGCCTGGAGAAGAATTCAACTCCTTAGAGTCTTAGTTTAGCGCTGCTTTTTGATTATAATAATAATAATACAGTCTAAGTTGTTAGGTAAGACACATATGCAACAGTTAGGTATCGAAATAAAGATACCTAACTGTTGCATATGTGTCTTACCTAACAACCTGTCGGTATTTTATACCATTTTAATGTTCACAGTCTTAGTATCTGATTCCCTGGGCAGCACTGATATTGGGCTAGACCAATACTTTTCCTAGTAAGTTTAGGTTTGAGAAAGACCTGCCTAGTATGGGCCAGTAGGCCTGCTTCAGAGTTCCACCTTTCTTACGTTCTCAGGAGCGTCGAGGGAGGCGGTGGAGGTGGTGCTTGACACGAGGGTGAGGTACCAGACCATCCTAGGCTGGGGAGGAGCGTTTACTGACGCAGCCGCTGCGAACATCCTCAGTCTGTCTCAGCCAGCGCAGGACAACCTCCTCAGGTATCCTGTTTTGCTTATACAACAGGTTTTTTCAGTCGAGTACAGAGGCAACGGAAGCGGTAGAGATGTAGAGACGTTATAATCAGTCCCTCACCTTGTAGATGTAATTTTGAGGTGGTCAGTCCCTCAGCCTGAAGAAGTGTTTTAAAAGACTGAAGAAACCACTCGGGGCGAAACGTTCCTTATAATAAATGTCTTGAATTGTACATAAGTGTCCTTTTCCAACATGTTAACCATTTATTCAAATCCTCCTCCTCTTCCTTCTCTCTACCTCTTCCCACAGGTCGTACTTCTCGTCCTCTGGGCTGGAGTACAATATAGGTCGAGTTAACATGGGTGGTTGTGACTTCTCGTGGCGACCTTATACTTACGACGATGTTGAGGGAGACGTCGACCTACAGAGTTTTGCCCTTCAACCTGAAGACCTTCAGTACAAGGTACAGTAGTTTATATAGTCCTGCCTTGTATTACTACTACTACTACTGTTACTACTACTGTTACTACTACTACTGTTACTACTACTACTGTTACTACTACTGTTACTACTACTACTGTTACTACTACTACTGTTACTACTACTGTTACTACTACTACTGTTACTACTACTACTGTTACTACTACTGTTACTACTACTATTACTACTGTTACTACTACTACTGTTACTACTACTACTGTTATACTATGTTACTACTACTACTGTTACTACTACTGTTACTACTACTACTGTTACTACTACTGTTACTACTACTACTGTTACTACTACTGTTACTACTACTACTGTTACTACTACTGTTACTACTACTACTGTTACTACTACTACTGTTACTACTACTACTGTTACTACTACTACTGTTACTACTACTACTGTTACTACTACTGTTACTACTACTGTTACTACTACTACTGTTACTACTACTGTTACTACTACTGTTACTACTACTGTTACTACTACTACTGTTACTACTACTACTGTTACTACTACTACTGTTACTACTACTGTTACTACTACTACTGTTACTACTACTACTGTTACTACTACTACTGTTACTACTACTGTTACTACTACTGTTACTACTACTACTGTTACTACTACTGTTACTCTACTACTGTTACTACTACTGTTACTACTACTGTTAATACTGTTACTACTACTGTTACTATTTACTGTACTACTACTGTTACTACTACTATCTGTTACTACTACTACTGTTAACTACTACTGTTACTACTACTACTGTTACTACTACTGTTACTACTACTGTTACTACTACTACTGTTACCACTACTACTGTTACTACTACTGTTACTACTACTACTGTTACCACTACTACTGTTACTACTACTGTTACTACTACTACTGTTACTACTACTGTTACTACTACTGTTACTACTACTACTGTTACTACTACTGTTACTACTACTGTTACTATTACTACTACTACTGTTACTACTATTACTACTACTATTACTACTACTACTACTACTGTTACTACTACTGTTACTACTATTACTTCTACTACTACTACTACTACTACTGTTACTACACTACTACTGTTACTACTATTACTTCTACTACTACTACTACTACTACTACTACTATTTAAATGTAGTTCATGAAGGAAATTAATTTGCATTTATGTAAATCTCGTGATTTTGGCTTTAATAACAACTCTCTTCTTGCCGAATAAGGTAAGCGAAAATTTGTGTATGCAATAATTTCACAAAAATAATTCTGAATGTAACGAAAAAAATATATTTAACTGTGTTTGTTTATTATTAAATTATTGTAAACTTATCTAAAATATATTTAGTTGGGTTAGGCTAAATTAAATTGCGCTTGTTATAATAAGGTTAGGTAAGTTTTCTAAGGTTCTTTTGGTACAAAATTATTAATTTTTACATTAATATAAATGAAAAAAATATATCTTTAAAAGTATAAGAATTTTTTTTAGAAAGGACTTAATTTTAAATGAGTTCTTGATAACTGACCAATTTTACCTATTCGACACCTATTTTCCGACCAAAATAGGGCGATATGTAAAAACAAGAAATCATTTCATTATCTTTCACTCCATCACTGTCTTACCAGAGGCGCACCGATGCTCCTCCAGGAATGTAACATCATCATTCCTCCTTCAGAGTGCAGGCACTGTATTCCCCACCTCCAGGACTCAAGTCCGGTTAACCGGTTTTCCTGAATCCCTTCATAAACATTTCCTTGTTCACACTCCAACAGCACGTCAAATCATGAAGACCACTCGCCTCCACTCACTCCTATCTAATACGCTCACACACGCCTGTTGGATGTCGAAGCCTCTAGCTCATGAAACCCCCTCCCACCAATCTTTCCTAGGGCGACCCCCTACCCCCCCCTTCCTTCCACCCCACACTTATACGTTCTCCAAGTTATCTTATTTTGCTCTATCCTCTCTAAATGTCCAAACCACCTCAACAACCGGTCCTCAGCCCTCTGGATAATACTTTTAGTAACCCCCGTCCCCCTAAGTTCCAAGCTCCGAATTCTCAGGATAATATTTACACCACACGTTGCCCTTAGACAAGACATCACTGCTTCCAGCTTCCTCCTCGCTGCAACGTTTAAAACCCACGCTTCACACCCATACAACAGTGTTGCTACCACTATACCCTTATATGATGTCCCGCAGCTGGAGCTTTTGGTCATCTAACCGAGGCCTTCAGCTGGCTTACCACTCCACCCCTTTAAAAATTATAGTTACAGTTATAGCTTTTGGTTGTAATGATAATTATTGCATTATTTATATCTTTCTTTGTCTCAGATTCCCGTGATCAAGAGCGCGGCAGCAATGGCCGCCCGGCCACTGATACTGTTCGCCTCACCCTGGACAGCACCTCCCTGGATGAAGACCAACAATGATTACATTGGTTATGGTCAACTCCTGCCAGAGATGTATCAACCCTGGGCTGACTACTTCGTTAAGTATGTCTCCTGTTTGTTCTCCGTCTCTCTCTCTCTCTCTCTCTCTCTCTCTCTCTCTCTCTCTCTCTCTCCTCTCTCTCTCTCTCTCTCTCTCTCTCTCTCTCTGCTTTCGTGCCTCTTCCCTCTACTTAACTTCATTCCACATGGATATAAATCACAATACCCTGGCTGTAACCCTCCACAAATAACTAGCAAGTCAAAGACCCCTTATGAGAAGTCTTCGCTTAAGACTTCTTTGTCAAGAGATCAGTGATACAGTACCAACAACTGGATGACTATGACACATGTGTATCATCACTGTCTGTGTCTTATTTCCTCACTTCTCGTTGCTGTGCTCAGTCTATCTTCATTGTTGTAATCCCTTTTCTATCTTCTGTTTCTATTTCCTTCCTTCTCGCTGCCATCTTCCCGTCTCCTTGGAGATGTTAACCTTGTTAATGAAATATAACCTTAATTTTTTAAATGGTGGAAGGGTAAGCCAGTGGAAGGCCTCCGTCAGATGACCAAAAGCTCCAGCTGTAGGTCATATGACTAAGACCAGGGTCAGGGAAACACTTGTCCTTTTTCCTACCTGGAGGGCATTCCGGGGATCAACGCCCCCGCGGCCCGGTCCATGACCAGGCCTCCCGGTGGATCAGGGCCTGATCAACCAGGCTGTTCCTGCTGGCTACACGTAGTCCGACGTAGGAACCACAACCCGGCTGATCTGGCACCGAATTTATGCATCTGTCCAGCTCCCTCTTGAAGGCAGCCAGGGGTCTATTGGTAATTTCCTTTATGCCTGATGCGAGGCTGTTGAACAGTCTTGGGCCCTTGACACTTACTGAGTTTTCTCTAACTTAAACAAACCTCTTCAGGTTCCTGGATAGCTACGCACTGGAGAACATTACGTTCTGGGGCGTAACGGCACAGAACGAGCCTTCGGACGGCTACATTCCATTCTTCAGCTTCAACTGCATGGGTTGGACACCAGCTCAGCAGACAGCGTGGGTTGGGGAACACCTGGGACCCACGCTGCGCGCCCATGGCTACCACGACCTCAAACTCATGATTCTGGATGACCAGCGGATCGAACTGCCGCTGTGGGCGGAGGAGGTGAGGTCAACCGCGAGGTCAAGTGTCAACACCAACAGTGGTGTAATTATGATAATAATAATGATAATAATAATAATAATAATAATAATAATAATAATAATAATATTATTATTATTAACAGTAAGACTACTACTACTACTACTAATAATAATAATAATTAAGGGGGATAACAAAGTCAGTCTGGTTGGGACCTCAGAGTCAAGACTCCTGGAATATTATATGCAAATTTACGGCAGACTTCCATTATTTGTTTGATGAGTTTGTCAAGCCTTGACTGGTTTTTCTTGGAGCCTTGACTGGTCTTTTTGGAGCCTTGACTGGTCTTTTTGGAGCCTTGACTGGTCTTTTTGGAGCTTTGATTAAGCTTTGTAGAGCTCCACTGGGCTCTTTAAAACGACTGTACTGTTTGAAGCCTCGTCTAGGCTTCAGGAACCTCCGCCTGGGCACTGTAAAGCCTGAAATGCTCTCTGTAAAGCCTCGTCTGGGTTTACAAAAGCCTTTTTTCTCGCGAAAGTAGTTTACCTGAGGCCCAAACAAAATTCGTGAATTTTCTCCAAGTTGGCGATGTATTTGACGAGTAGGCTGGCAGGTGTCTATGAATAATTATGGGAAATTTTGATTTTTGTATGATGAGAGAGAGAGAGAGAGAGAGAGAGAGAGAGAGAGAGAGAGAGAGAGAGAGAGAGAGAGAGAGAGAGAGAGAGAGAGAGAGAGAGAGAGAGAGAGAGAGAGAGATTTGACAAGACATGTGATATACGAATGTGTATTTATAAGAACATAAGAATGAACACTACACTAGGCCTACTGGCCCATACTAGGCAGGTTGTTCTCTAACCCAAATATTCCCACCCACCCACTATTAAAAAACCTTTCAGTCCGTGGCCCTAGCTCACTTCTAACATACAAGAATGATCTTGTATATCTGGGCATAAAAGGGAGGTGGGAGAGGCAGGCAGCAAGGTTTGTAAACGATGTCAGGTAACCCTTTGATGATATGCCTTTGATATACCTTTGATGAGTTCTGAGAGTTTTTTCTATTCCCGGAGCCCGGCCCAGGGCCAGGCTCGTCTGGTGTTTGGCTGGTCAACCAGGGTATTGCTTCTGGTAGAGATTACCTGACTCCCGTGCTGTCAGGTGGGTGGATCATATCTTGGTGTATAACCATGAACGACTGTGTTGTCGTTGTGCTGGGGTTTCCGGCTTTAGGTTGCATGGTGTGGGTGACGGCGATCAATGAGGCTTCCAGGAACCCTCGACCTCTGAAGTTCATTGGTGAGTTGTGATTGTTTTCAACTCATCAGATGAGTTGGGGTATAAAGACGTTATTTAAGTCGTCCCCGCATTTCACTACGCTCTCTAGATATATGCTCATCCAGCTCAACTTGAAAAAGCCTACTGCGTGGGCGAAACGTTGTCAATAAAGGCTTTGTTTTCATTTTGTCAGTATTTTACACGTTTCCTCCTGCTTACGTCTTTCATGCTACAGGTGTCTCGATGTTCACTCAAGCGGACAGATAGATCCCTGTTAGTATTCCCTATATATTTCATCTTAGAGTGTCCACAGGGGCTGGTGTAGACACCTGCCCTGGCAGTCAAAGGTGTGTAACTACGCTACTTAATAAGTGCTTGATGGAGCCTGTATCTATGGTGGCTACTGGAATGCTGCTTGTAGCAAGAAGCTGACTAGCGTTCTTGGCAACGCCCCCGTCTGGAAACACCAAGAACTGCTTAGTGTAGTGTTTCATCGGGGTTTTAATGAGAACAGCTTCAACCTAGATCCTGAGCTTAGACCCTGAGCTTAGACCTTGAGCTTAGACCTTGAACTCCAGGATGAATTAAGAGAGGGAACTGAAGACCTGTGTAAGCTAGGTTAGGTTAGTTTAGGTTAGTTTAGGTTAGTTTAGGTTAGGTTTAGTTAGGTTAGGTTAGGTTAGGTTAGGTTTGTCAGGAAACAAGACTTGTGTTACGTATGTGCACTCCTCTTTAAGAGAACAAAGATCTTCAATAAGAAATCGGCGACACCTCATTCACTGCAAGTGTTATGGTGCGTGCAGAAGTATTTGAGGATCCATAAGGGTGGGATTCCTATATACCTTGTAAAGAAAGTTGTTCCTGTCGGAATAGTTTGTCCTCTTTTCTCGAGTTTCAGTGTGAACTTTATAGATGACTCGACAAAGCTGGTCTCATTGTTGAGGTCCTGGGTACTGAGACGTCTGGGATGAAAGGTATCATAGCCAGGACACAGCTTTGGGAACCGTGGTGGTAAATATCTAGATCATCACATTCGGTTATAACCTGCCTGTCACACCTCACTTATATATATATATAATATATATATATATATATATATATATATATATATATTATATATATATATGAGAAGATATAGATAGATCGCATTCAGCTATTCGAAGCAGTCATGTTTAGCTGTAAGTATTTTGTTGACATTAGACACTGTCACATGAATATAAGAGGGGAGCTGGTTACGGGAACAATATTCACAACCACTCCAAACCCTCCTGATTTCCCCGAGTCTTTAATCGTCTTCCCCTAGGTCTTGACAGACCCATGTTTCCCGTATAGGGTGGTATGCGTACTGTATACGGATTCATCCTCATGTCTAACAATATCATCTTATCCATATCTATCATACTTAGAATTCGAATATTAAAATATCTATCTGCACGAGGCAAAGGTGAACCTAAGAGGTAGCAGTAATCGCAGTCGCAGGGTTCGAACGGCACGTCAGGAGGCTGGCAAGGTTCCCCTAAGTGACGCTCTAGAGTCTAGACCACTCGGCCGCAGACGCCTCAAGAGCTGGGCAGCCTGGTTTACCGCGGCAACCACCATCTACCTCCCCTCTCTCACTATTACCACTACCCACACAACCCCTCCCCTCATTTCCTACCCCAGTCTTACTGAATCAGCCTCACCTCCTCCTCCTCCTCCTACAGGTCTTGACAGACAGCATCGCTGGTCAGTATGTGGATGGTATTGCCGTCCACTGGTACTGGGACGCGATGTCCTCCGCTCATCGTCTCAACACAACTCATCATCTCTTCCCCGATGTCTTCATACTTGCCACCGAAGCTTGCGAAGGTAGGTTTAAAACCTATCTTCTGCACGAGGGTCACTAAGGCTGCACCTCACCCTAATAGGTAACACTCTCGCTTAACCCGCTGAGTGTCCGTGGTTCAATTCCTGGCACCGGTGGAAACACTGGGCGTGTTTCCTTACACCTGTTGTCTTGTTCACCTAGCAGTAGGTAGGTACCTGGGTGTTAGTGGACTGGTGTGGGCGGCATCCTGGGGGACATGATTGAAGACCCCAATGGAAGTAAAACAGTCCTTGATGACGCACTGCCTCTCTTGGGTTATCCTAGATGGCTAACCTTCCGGGGTTAAAAATCCAAACGAAATCTTATCGTACCTAAAATATGGTTTAATTCTTTGTCTATATAAACTGGACTTGTGTTAAGA